GGGTTTGGGTTTGGCAAAACCCGACCCAACCCGACCCATTGCCATCCCTAGGCTCAACGAGCAATTGGGCCGGAGCAAGTGGAACAGGGGGGCAAGGAGGACGCAGCAGCGGAGCCCAAGGAGGAAGAAACGGCGGGCCGGGAGAGAGCGGGATGGTCGATGGCGGATTGGGCTAGGTTCCGCAACCTGGCTTGGGCAGTACGTCTAGGCTGCCAACCAGGGCAACTGGAATGGGCCTTGGCCTCAATTGGGGCCAGATGCCGAGCGGGGAAGTCAGGCCCGTGGCCGTCTGAGCTGGAGCCACGCGCGCGGAGCACGAGCCAACAGGGAGTGGGCCTGCCGCGAGCGGGCTTGGAGCAAACTAGCCGGCGCCAGTCAGGCCACCGTCTGGGCTGCCTGGGTCTTGGGGAATTCAAACCGGAATGGGAGAAGGAGAGCGTGGTGGGCCGAGCAGAAAAATGGACGAGAAGAATGGGTGGTTTAAACCCAAATTAGCCCAACTTGAGTTCCCAAAGTACAATGGGAGTGAGGATCCGTCAGGCTGGTTCGCAAGAGTGGAGCAGTTTTTTCGATTCCAGGAAACCCCAGAGGAGAACAAGGTGGCTCTCGCATCATACCACATGGAGGGAGATGCAAATCAGTGGTGGCAGTGGTTGGAATGCACGTACCTCATATCGGGGTACCAATTACGTGGGTGCGATTCAGAGAAGGGCTATGGGCTCGATTTGGCCTAGCAGAGGGAGCATCTAGCCATGAAGCTCTTGCCAAAATTAAGCAGACTGGGTCATCAAGCAGCTATTTATTGGCATTTGAAATGCTAGGCAATCGTTGTTTTGGGTGGACCGAAGAAGCCTTGGTGGGATCATTCATTGGAGGACTAAAACCAGAGATACCTGATGCGATTCGAATGTTCCGACTAGAAACGGTGCTAGAGGCTATTCGTCTTGCCAAGGTGAAGAATGAAGAACTTAGCAAGCATCGCCCAATGGCTAGAGGAGCACCACGTCGAATGTCGCCAGAAGAAGTCGCTCGACGTCGCGCGCAAGGATTATGCTTCCATTGCGATGAGCGCTTCACCATTGGTCATCGTTGTGCCAATATCAACGTTCTTCTTATGATTGGCACGTGCAGTGAAGGCGAGGAGGGCACGTTCATCGAGGAGGAAGACCGACCTTGAGGGCAAGGTTGTGCTCAAGGAGGGAGGGATGTTACGAGATCAGGCCATCGTAGCATTTCGTAGGAGACTGAACTTGCGTACCTTTAGTATTTTATTATTGGGCTTTTATTATTATTGTCTTATTTATTGTTTTTCTTGTTCTTATAAAATTTGGTTATTTGTTGGTAATATCCTTAGAGGTTTAGGAGTCATAATCTAGATAGGTAAAGGCTGAGGCTTTGTGCCTATAAATATGTACTTGTTTCGTTCGTTTAATGATAAGAAGATTGGAACCCAATAGTTAGCTTTTGTTCTTATTTGCTATTTCCTTAGTTATTTTATTTGAGAGTTCTTGCATTTTATTCCTTTTACGAGAAAACCCTAAAAACGCCATTCCCCTACATCACATCACCGTAACAGTTTTAATTTTCGTTTTATGTTGGATCTACATACAAATGATTATTTTGGTGTAACATTACATGTTACTACCCATATGTTAGATGATATTTGATAAAATTTATAATGCCCAACAATATAATGACTTTTTATAAATCCAAGCTAAATCGAAATAAATCGATCAGACTAGGGATGGAAACGGGTCGGGTTGGGCGCGGATAGTACATATCCGTTACCCTACCCATAGTAGTTCGAGTTTTACCCATACCCATACCCACATGTGAAACGGGTAGAAAATCAAAACCATGCTCATACCCGTTCGGGTTTCGGGTATCCACGGGTATCCATTGGTAATAATTTCTCTTCATAACTCCAACCAATATGTTAACATTCACATGTATTCTCACGTTACATAAGAGGAAAAATACGACAATAATTCACTAGAATGAAGAAAATTAATTAAAATTACACGATTTCATGAAAATATTATATTTATATGTTAAATATAAAAATTTTAGAGAAAATAATGATTATTTCTAGACAAAATACATATGCATGTGTATAATCGGGCGGGTTCAGATTGGATAGTGAGAAACCCATGCCCACCCATCACCCGCAAAATTCGGGTTCGGATTTTGCCCGTACCCACTAAATGTCCTTCGGATTCGGGTTTTACCCTACCCGATTAAGCCGGATTCGGGCGGATATCCACGGTTACGGATATTTTTGTCATCCCTGGATCAGACCATTAACCCTCAACCTACTTGATCGACCGGACCAAGGACCAACTAGCTAAACCAGGTTAACAACCTTGTTACACACTAGTGTCTACAGTTATTTACTCCCGCGCTTCCGCTGCAGGAATTTATCTCTAAGCACATCAATACGGTTTTTTAGTTTAGCAGAAGTGTAGTATACTAGTATGAGAACTCGATAGCAACAGTGTAACAAAAGGTACATAAAATATTAGAGATTGTAGCATACAGGAAAAAATAGTTCTTTAAAGTTGAAAGTACATATAGGATTATAGATATGACCATGTAAGAGCATGAACCTGCCTGAACCAACGACCGAGGTTGGTGTCGCCCAAAAAAAAAATTTGATTGACCCTTCTCAACGTTACTGCAATGATCTCTCAACCATTCTCCATCATACATCAAGCATCAATTTCATCGCCTACCCATATACAATTCAAGAGGAAAAGAAAACATCTTAACAAAGATTTAATGCAGAGGATATGGAAACGTTATCCTAGCAAACTATACCATGAATATCCTGGACTATAGCATGAGAAATGGAAGTATCATATTGGGGAGCGGGAATGGTGGTAAAATGCATTGAAACCTCAGTTACACAGATAGTCCAAAAGTGGAGGAACTAAAATCGAGAGAGGAACACAGAATGCAAAACTGTAACCTGGACTACAAAGCAACAGAATAATGCAAGCTTCAGACTAAAGTATAAATGAGCATTGAGATTTCAGGAACTGAATCCAGAATTACAAACGAATGTTCTCTGCATTCCCAACCAATCTGGCAAATGAAGAAGTAGTGTCAATCAAATTGGACCAGAGAAGAAGATCCAAAGGCCAACACTAATAAAAGGGAAACCAAAATAGCAAAGTAGACCAAACCAAAGGGGAAAATAGCACAAAAAAGTAACTCAACAGTATATAACACTTGAATTTCATGATTCAATTAAAGAACTCAACCAGCTGTTGCTATATGGTTGATATTTTCCTTGTTACAACTTAGTTAAAATTGGAAATGAAATAGCGTCATGAAACAGGTGGTAAAACAGACTTAATCTTTCCAAATGGTGAAGGCAAGTAGATCTCGCATACTTGTACCCTCGAGGATGGGACGGGTATTATTGTCAACTGTCATGGGAACAATCTCATATATGGGAAAATGCAGAAGAGAGGAATTCACTATCCTAGGGGCGATACCCATTACGTTTACTTCCTCAGCCACATCCTAAGGATAATCAAAATAGCAATTTAAGCCCTCCAACGGATTAAAGGGCGTTTAAGTTTATAAAGCTAAGATTCAAGAATGTTGAAATGAATCCAACGACATACAAAGCACCTACCTGATAAAGAAGAGGAAGAAAGTCAGCCACACCAGGTGAAAGCTTGTGAATTTTGCTATTCAGAAGGTAAACACCAAGAACTACCTTAATCTCACTAACATGCAAACAAAATAAACAGGAAACAAAATCACTCAACATTCACTTGAATAGGAAACATAATCAAGCAAATTCAGATAGGCAAGCACGAAGACATTGAGTTAACATAACTATGTCTCATGTTATGTGCTCATAGCTTTAACATTATTGTGATAAGACAGTGAGAGTTTCTGTCATCTAGAACAAAGGATAGAAACTAATCAAGTGCTTCCTCAATTGATCTGAATTATGGCTAAAACACCTATAACAATCTCCAGTTTTCCTAATACTAAGTTATTTTAAAATAAGTCTTTAGACCAAGGTCCCATACAGCTTTATCCACCAGTTCCATGAGGATTTGTTTTTTCGTTGTTTCATAACAATGGCAGCAGATGCATTAGTTGTTTCATCTTACCTAATAATGGGACAACGCAACCTGCCAGAAAAACAATAAGAGAATATAGTAACCTAATCAAAAGCCTAAGTGACCAATTATGGACACTTAAGATGAAGGGAATGAATTTTGGTATCGTGCTTTGTTAATTAGATGTACTAAAAGTTAACAGATTATGTTGATCTTTTTGTACTCTTAAGATGGCTCGTATAACTTGATATGCAGAACCAAGATCATCTTAAATGAAAAGAAAAAAGACTAATCTAAGTAATTAGGAAAATACGACGAACTACAACTAATCAAAGTAACCTAGCAGCGCTACCTAATGGGTATGCTGCAGATGTCAACAGCTTCCAGTTCAGGCCTAAAAGGATCAACTTAAGGTTGTAAACTTACCATAAGGAAAAACCACTAACGCTTGGCATCAAAATATAAGTGCACAAACTTCAACAAACGTCCTGGGCTGGTACATATAACATTCTCAAAAGGCGAGTTGCAGGCTGCTATCGGACCAAATAACGGCAATTTTATAAATAAACAAAAAAAATTCCCCAATCCACCTTGGTCTAAACAGCAAGGCTAACTGAAGTTCCCATTGAAATCACTGGCGTTCTTGATACTGAGATTTAAATACCTTAGAAGTAGTTGTAAGGCATTACGTATTGTACAGCAGAACAGCGAAACACAAATCTGAGAAGAAAACCATGTTGGCAAATACAAAGCAACACCAATATCAACTGTAATAACCTTGTAAACTCAAGAAAGAAAGAAAAAAATATGGATTGTAAATCCATAAAAGGAGTACTTTGCATAAAATTGCAGCAATTACTTAAGCCAGATTATGACAACAATCCATATCAATTCAATTGTCCATGTGTGGCCAACTGGATCTAGACTGATAGCTTACAAAGAATTCCCGTTTATAGTAAATAATAATTCTGTTTTTCTTTTCACTTTAAATAAAACCATTTCAAACGACATTATGTTTTAGATAAGACAGACAAAAAATAGATAAAACATTTATATATGGAAGAAAAAGTGGTTGATTTACCGGCTTCTGAGTTCCTATATTCCAATTACTCTTTTGCTATTAGGTGTAAGCTTGACCACATAATGTTGCAAGTTTGGCATGAGCTGATAGGTCCACCTCTACATCTTTCCTTAGCTTTGCACAACACAACTGCAACAAAATGGCATGAGTTAAAAGATCCATCAGATTATGCAAGGGCACAACCAATAAATTAGATTTCAAAAGAACAATATGTGAATTGCATTGTAACCAGCATTTAAAGGCTTTCAGTGTCAGAGATTATCTAAGTATTTGATCACCTTGTTCATGATTTTTTTAATGCTTCGGTTGACAATATTAATTCTTTCCCCTGTATTTTCTCCTTCCCTCTTTCTGATTGATCAACCCAGAAATTACAAATAAGAAGTAACCAGAATTAACAGCAGCCCAAAAATCCTAAAACTGTAATATGCAAAAAGAAAACGACCCTCATCTATGTCGCCGAAGCAAATGATCTGAATCCGTAATCAAGCAACTCATCTTATCATACCTAAGATCAAACGCGATTAAGTACGAAAGTGGAGTTCGGAGCTGGGTCCTCGCCGATTGAGATGGCGGAGGTGGAGAAGCTCCGCGACCCACCCCATAAACGAACATTGAACGTGCGGAGCCTCCCCTGTTCCTCTGTCCCGATTGGCGTTGTCTCTGTTGGAGTCAAAGACAGGAGCCACCTCTGGTAACTCTCCGATTCGCCACCGACGCAAACCCTTGCAACAACTGTTGGAGAAGAAGGTCAAGGAAGAGAAGAAAATGTCGATAGAAATGCTTATTGCGGATGAGAGAAGAAAGGGAAGAGGGTTAGTGTTTTTGGTGGCTGTGAAGCGGTACGAAGTAAAGCAACGAAGGGAGGACAGAGATGAGAAAGAAAGAAAAGTCTTTGTGTGTCAGATGGGTAATTGTATTCAGGTCAGAAACAATTCCAATTGTGCAACCAAAGTCCTGAAAGCATTGGTTTATTACCAAAAAAACAACCAATTGCAGAATCTGAACAAAATTCACGTAGATCCAACTCGTCAATTAGATAATTACAAAAGTGGGTAAAACTTGTTCCCAACACAAAATTCGTCGACGTTGATTTCAACTCGCTTTGACCGGATCATATTAGGTTGAATACACAAATTGAAACCCAAACCTCCCATTACAAAAGCGGTCAAAACTCTTTCTCGAGCCAAAACTCGTAAACACCGAGTGCAACCAGCATTTTTCTTAGCTACGGGTCAAATGGAAAGCTATCACGTTTTTAACAAAATCCACAAACCAGAATAATGTGCCAATTACAAAAGCATGTAAATAATGACCCAAATTCATGAACACCACCCAATTTGATAAAGTGGGGCGAGTTTCCAGCAAAATTCGTACCCGACCCAACCCATCAACTATATATAAGTGTATAATATTTGTCCCCAACTCAATAGTCGTAAACACTAGATTCAACTCGCTTTGACCGGTTTGAGAAAGAGGGTCGAGTCTTTAACAAAATTCTCACCCAACCCAATCCGTCAATCACAAAAGTGGGATATATGGTTTCAACTCGCTTTGATCGGGTCGAATGAGATTGCATACCCAAATGCACACCCAACTCCATAATTACAAAAGCGAGTAAAACTCGATCCCGAGCAAAAACTTGTAAACACTAAAATTACAAAAGCAGGTTAAAGACCAACCCAAAATTCATCAACTCCACCCAATTAGATAAAGCGGGCAAGTTTCTAACAAAATTTGCACCTAACTCGGTCAGTCAATTACAAAACTGGGTAATATTAGTCCTCAACCAAGGTTGTCAACCCGCGGGTCAACCCGATTTGACCCGGACCCGTCCAAAAAAATGGGCCACAATAACCCACTAAAGAATCAGCCCGGATTTAGTCAAACCCGGTCAAACCCGGTAAGACCCGACAAACCCGGGCGGTTGACCCGGAACAATGGGTCAGCGGGCTTTCATCTGTGCGGCGCCGTATCCACTTCGCTCTCCTAGTCTCCTTCCCATTTCCAATCGCTGCCATTCTTTTTCTTTTTTCTTTTTGTGTTTGGTTACCACTTACAACCCCATTCCTTTTTCGCTGTCATTCATTCTTTCAACTACAAAAATTGCAATCTTTTTTTCTTTCTAAGAAAAAAGAAACTTATAACTCAAATTAAAATATGTTGGAATGTTACTTAAATTTTAATTTCCGTGGGTTTTTTTTTCTTAACTTAAAACAAATAATGGTATTAGATGAGATTTGATATATGTTATTATCTATATGTTATATGACATTTGATATTAATATTAGTTATATATGTATGTGCAATATAATTATGTTTTCAATATATCCGGGCTAAATCGGGCTAACCCGATTGACCCATTAACCCTTGACCCACTAGCTCGACCGGGTCCGGGTCGATCCGCGGTTTGACAACCTTGGTCCCCAACCCAAAATTGGTCAACGCTGAATTCAACTCGCTATGACTGGTTTGATTTGATAAAGCGGAGTGAGTTTTTAACAAATTTCACACTCGATCCAATCCATCAATTACAAAGTGGGAGAAATGGTTTCAACTTGCTTTGACAGGGTAGAATTAGGTTGAGTACCCAAATTAACACCCGATCCGTCAATTACAAAAGCAAGTGAAACTCGATCCCAAAACAAAACTCGTAAATACCCCAGGTAAATCAGGTTTTTTTCTCTTCGGGTCGGATGGAAAGTGGTATGAACTTTTAACAAAATCCACACCCGGGCCAACGTGACAATTACAAAAGTAGGTTAAATACCAACCCAAAATTCATCAACGCCACCCAGTTTGATAAAACGGGGAGAGTTTCTAACAAAATCTGCACCTGACCCATCCCGTCAATTATAAAAGTGGGTAAACTTTGTCCCAAAACAAAAATTGTCAACACGGGAGTCAACTCGCTTACACATATTTGATAAAGCGGGGTGAGTTCTTAACAAATCCACACTCTACGCAATTCATCAATTACAAAAGTGGAATAAATTTGCTCCTGACCCGAAATTCATCAACAACGGGTTCAAATCGCTGTGACCAGGTCGAATATGGTTGAATACACATGAATTTGGGTTCAATTGTCATAGAATGAAATAAATTCACCCAACCCGTCAATTAGAAAAGCAGGTAAAATTCGTCAACACGTTAATAAAACAGTCGGTAAAACTAATCGCGGATCCAAAATTCGTCAACACTGGATTCAACGTGCCTTGACCGCCTTGATAAAGCAGCGCGAGTTCTTCACAAAATCCACACCCGACCCAATTCTTCAAATTCGACACCCGACCCAATTTTAAAGTGGGCGGCTTTTGTACCCGACCTAAAATTCAGCAACACCGGGATTGGGTCGAATTAGGTTGAATACAATTTTGTAAAATAATTCACACCCGACTCAATTCGTTCCCAACCCGAAATTCGGGACTGGGTCGTATTAGGTTGACCACACATGAATTTGGGTTTAATTGTTCTCAAGCCAAAGTTCATCAACATCATGTTCAACTTGTCTTCACCTAATCGAATTAGGTCGAACACTCATTGTTATGGGTTCAATTTTTGTTCACTTTTCATAAAAAGAATTAATTTTCAAAAGCGAGTAAAATTCGTTAAGGACCCAAAATTCGTCAAGGGTTTAACTCGATTTGACCGTTGAATACACATGGTTTTGGGTTAATTGTTATAAAAGGACATAACTCGGGTAAAACTCGTCTCCGACCCAACCCGTCAATTACAAAGACTGATAAAACTCATCCTCGATTCAAAATTCGTCAACATTGGATTAAACTCGCATTGACAAGCTTGATAAGTGGAACAAAAGCGGGTAAAATTTGTTCCAACCCAAAATTCGGCAACAACGGGATGGGGTCGAAGCAGGCTGAACACTGTTTTTAACAACATCTACACCCGACCCAATGCGTTAATTACAAAACCGGGTAAAATTCATTATCTACCACACATTGGCAACAACGTGATCGGTCGAATTAGGTTGAACACTGTTTTTAACAAAAGCCACACCCGACCCAATGCGTTAATTAACTTCATTTCAACCCATAATTCGTCGACATAGAGTACAACTAGCTTTAATCAAGTCAAATTAGGTCAAATATCTTTTGATTTTAAGTTAATTTCGGGTTAAAGTGTCATAAAAGAATTACTTAGAACATTTCATTATTACACCCGGCATAATTTGTCAATTACAAAAGCGAGTAAAATTCGTTGAAGACCCATAATTCGTCAAAGGGTTTAACTCGATTTGACCGTTGAATACACATGGTTTTGGGTTAATTGTCACAAAAGGACATAACTCGGGTAAAACTCGCCCCCGACCCGACCTGTCAATTACAAAAGCGGATAAAACTCATCCCCGATTCAATATTCGTCAACACTGGATTAAACTCGCATTGACCGGCATAATAAGTGGAACAAAAGCGGGTAAAATTCGTTCCAACCCAAAATTCGACAACAACGGGATGGGGTCGAATCAGGCTTAACACTGTTTTTAAAAACATCTACACCCGACCCAATGCGTTAATTACAAAAGCGGGTAACTACACCCGATCCAATGCGTTAATTACAAAACCGAGTAAAATTCATTATCGACTAAACATTGGCAACAACGTGACCGGTCGAATTAGGTTGAACATTGTTTTTAACAAAAGACACACCCGACCCAGTGCGTTAATTACAAAAGTGGGAAACTTCATTTCGGACCCATAATTCGACAACACCGGACCGGATCGATTAGGTTGAATACACATGAATTTGAGATAAAAAGAGATAATTAAAACATTTGATTAAATAATAAAAAGTTTAACAATAAAAAATTCTTGGTGATGTGACTCTACCAAATAGTAACATGTAGTTTGTTTTTTAAAGAGATAATAATAATAATAATAATAATAATAATAATAATAATAATAATAATAATTATAATAATTATAATAATAATTCATAAATAATGAAATGGACTTCCTTTTACCTAATTGTTATCACTATGGTACTGTGACTTGTAGACTCTGTTAGAACTTTGGACTCACGAGCATGCAGTATAATGGTCTACTACTAACATATATAAATCAGAATAGTAAGTTAGTAACACTACTGTACCGTCATATTGTATGAAGGTCAAAAATATTTCAAAGGGTGTTTGTTAAGCCCTGAATAAACCTCTGACGTGCCCTGAAAGTCTTCCCCCGCTCCCGCTCCCGCTCCCGCTCCTGCTCCTGGCCGACGGTGTCTGTCTTCGCGCCAAATTCTGCCCTCGCTTCACTCTCCCCGACGGCCGAGAGTCTTGATTCTTCTTCCGATATCATCTAACGAACTGTCCCCTTTCTCTAATCTCCATAGAGTAAACCTCTTACGTGCCCTGAAAGTCTGCTCACGCTACCGGCCGACGGTGTCTGTCTTCGCGGCAAATTCTGCTCTCGCTTCACTCTCCCCAACGGCCGAGAACTCTTGATTCTTCTTCTTCATCATGTAACTAATCTTCACCTTTCTCCATTGATTGTCTGTGTCTTGAACATTCCATTCAGTGAATTTCAGTATTTTGGTCGTTATGGAATCTGCGGCGAGCTATTGAAGCTTGTTCGTTCCAATGTTATGATGAGGAAATCAAGAACCCTAAGTTTACCGTTCCTAGTCTTGGAATCTGTGGTTCGATTGGGAGTAGTGGTTCAGCATTGGGTGATTTGTTCGGCTGTTACGTTAAAGAATGCAAGAACCCTAAGTTTCCCCTGTTCTGTACATAACAGTCTCAAGGTGTATGGGGGGATTAATGGTTGAATGTAGCCGAGTTTCTTTGGAAACTGGTGACCAGAGCTTCTCGAGGGCTCTTCGCCTC